GAAAGTAGAGTTGAAGATCTGGATAAAGTTCTACCTATAATGGTGATGAGCTTCTAGAAAATATTCTGAGTTGTCACAAGAGACCCCTGTCCTTTTCGTAGATTTTGGAGAGAATTTGGTGTGTATAAAGATGGTCTTGAGAACGGATGCCTTTTTCTCTTGTGAATTCTCAGAGCAAAGGACAGTTCATTTCAGTTTTGTCTTTACAAAGAGAATGCTGCTTGGACCTGACGGACTTCAAGATTCAAGCCAGAACCTTAGTCTCAGTCACGAGTGTGTCCGGACCTCGCTGCCTGCCTCACTCTCAGGCTGACTGGAGCTAAGAACAAACGCGTGTCACTGAAGAACATGGGGGAAGGGCATTCTAAACTCCGTTTTTTACCTTCTCCTGCAACAACCACTTAACGACTAAAATGTGATTTGTACTTTATCCACCTTACACACAAGAAGTAACTGTGGGCAGTTTAGGTCTCAGGGCCTGTGAGGAGTTAGGAAGAATCAAAAGATACAGTCCCTGGGCCCCACAGAGGTGTTGTGATGTGCACTAGTTTTCTCTGCCTGAAGAGATAGCAACCACCTCTTTGTTCCCACCCATATTAGTAGCTGTTGGAGTAGATAAAGCCCTCCCTCAGGCAGTGTTGTGGCCAGAAGCTAACCCAGACCCCAGCTTCGTTTGGGGGACAGATAACTGAAACCACAGAAGGCTTTGGAATCCTGAGAAACAAGAAATCCACCAACGGAGAAGGATTTATTATCTGTTTCCTCTAAGGAGGGTGCAAAGTTGTTCTAACAGTTTCCGTTACAGGGGTACCAACTGGCCGCTCCTCCCTAACAGACGGTTTTGTTGAGTTAGCTTTTTTTTTCCTTATTTCTTGGCCCTATTTCCTATGAGAGAAACTGCTTGAGTGAGGAAGGAGAAAGGAGTCCTGGGGGTTGTTCTCTGAGGTTTCCTTCACCATCCTCATTAGCAACCTGAAGTGAAGCTGAGGATTGAAGGACGACAGAAGGTTCCTGGTTGCCGGAGGAGGGGAAAGTCAGGGGGATCCCCCACTTTCTTCACACGCAGGACACAGGGTGCCACTGCTGGCCACAGAAGCCCCAAGAAGGCTTTTCTTTCCATTCAGAGAACACCTATTGTGTGCCAGGCCCTGTGCTGAGCTGTTGTTGCCTGACAGCAGGGAAAATGCGGTTCTGGCTTCTGTGAAGAGGCCGCGCGGGGCAGCCCCCAGCTCCAAGAGCCTCAGCACACATCTTCAACTCAGTGAATGCGGATGGAATTGGGCTCTAGAGATAGCAATCCCAGCAATCTAACTGAAAGCCGGGAAGGATATCCGAAGAGGGTTTAGTGCGAGGGAGAACTCTTCAGGTGTCACCATAGCGGGAAGGTGCTAAGGCGTGGGAGGGGAATGGGGCGCGCGGAGTCCTTGGGCCACGCCGTCCCCGCCCCGCTCGCCCGGAGCCAACATGGCCGCCGCACAGGAAGCGGGGCGGCTCCGAGTCCGGGCAGGAGCGGGGCGGGACCGTCGTCGATGGGGCCTGTGCGCAGGCGCTGGTCTCAAAGTCCCGGATGGAGGTGCTGAGGGTCGGGCCCCGCCTGGGAGGTCGAGACGGGCCGGCGCTGAGCACTCGGCGCCAGCCTGGGAGTCCAGGAGCTCTGGGGGAAGGGAAGTTGTCAAACGGAGGTCGTGGGGGAAGGGAGGTGGAGGCCGCCAAAGAACCCCGCCCCGTCGCCATAGCGGCCTCTCGGTGCCGCCTCTTCCTTTACAGCCTCCCGCCTCCCCACCTTCTGGCCCTGAGGCCTGGTGGGGTTCCGCGGGACCCCTCAGGAGTAACCCCTGAGCTACGACTCCTCGAGGGTGCGGGTAGTTGCCCTTTCCCTGGTAGCGTCTGTTTTAGAAAGGTGCAACTTAGAACGAGCTTCGGGTCCGCTAGGGCTGGTGGAAGGCGGCGACTCGGGACGGCCTGTAAGGTCTCTAGCTCTGGACTCTGGTTCAAAGCGACTTCCCTATCCTACTGAGGATTTAGCCTTTCCCAAAGGGACCGTGGCCTCTATCCAACAGATTTTCCTAAATTCTCAGATAGGGCCCTTCCTGCCCTAAACATACCCAGCAAGGTTACCACTCACTGGACGACATACTGTATTAAAAATTGGGAGGTCTGTTTTGTACTCTAGACTTCAAACAAACAAACAAACAAACAAACAGCATACCATTTGGCGGGGTGAGGTCAGGTGAGAAGACCAGGAAGTTTCGGAAACAATAAAACATGACCCCAAACACAGTAAATTTGGGCATATAAATTGACTCCTATGAGCCTCAGTTTCCACATTTATGAAATGGAGATGGTATTTTCTTATGACTTCACAGGGACCAATGAGATCTCTGGTGTAAAAATTGTAAAACGAGATTTCTATCCACTTCTCTCCGGCCTGGTTTCCTTGCAGGAGAATTAAAAAAATTGTAAGTGCCCTGCCAGTTTAAAAAGTGTGATTTAACAAAGGGGTTTGTTGGCAATTAGAGAACTGGCTGTTTTCATTTTGTTTTTACTTAATTTCCCTGTAAACTAAGTGTAGGCTGGCTACAAGTCTGTGGTCGCTGAGGCTAGAGCTTGACTTTGGAGAGGGAAAAGGAAGCGTGGAAGCCTGGTTGAAGAGGCGAAGGTGGGTTAAGTGCTTTTTTGTTCCCGACTTCTCTGATGCATGTGGGTGGGAAGTCACGGAAGGGAAAAAAACAACAACAACTAAATTTACTGGAGGCTAGAGAAGGGACAGCCGTGTGAGCTCGGCTTGTGTCTGTTTCTCTGATTTCTGATTCAACGAATCAGATGTTAGAAATGTTGGATAGGCTTATAAACTACGGCCGCTCTCGGGGGTATTTAGACGCTTGCCTTTGAACAGAATTTTCTTGAGGAACCGGTGTGGAGTGGATGACCCCTCCCTTCCTCCAGGCCTCCTGGCGATGGAGTAAGGAGTAGGCGCCCCCTTGTGCTGAAGAAAAAGTACTTTTGCTGTTGGTCAACCTCGCTCCCTTTCTGGGGAAATTTATTTTCCTGTGGTTTTTGTGACTGTTATCTCACGCTGAACATGAGATATGGTGGGAGGAATACTTGGGGCAATAATTTTATATTTAAAGCCAGTGATTCTGTATCCTACGCTAACCATTTTCATTCATTCAGAACACATGTTTATAGTGCCTGATTGTATGTTTCTTGTTGTTAAGTGCTGTCGAGTCAGTTTCTACTCACAGCGATCCTGTATAGGTTTTCCAAGGAGAAGCTGGTGCGCTTGAACCTCTTGACCTTGCCATTCAAACCGACTTTGCAGTCCAGCCCATTAACCTACAGCGTCACACCAGGACTCCAATTGTATACTAGGCCCCAGGAATATATTTGTGAGCAAGATAGACAAAGCTTCTGTCCTCATAGAGCTGCCAATCTATTGGATCTGACAAACACAAAAGTAGTATCAATAAAGAAGACATGCAGAGTGCAAGGAGAGCATGCCATGGAAGTATATCATACAGTCTAGTGAACGTCGGGGAGTGCAGTCACTGTAGGATAAGCACTGGACTGCAAACCACAAGGTCATTGGTTCAAGCCCACCAGCTGCTCCGCTGGAGAAAGATGAGGCTTTCTTCGCTTATAAAGATTCACAGCCTCAGAAACTCTATACAGAGTCGCTGTGAGTTAGAACAAACTCCGAAGGCATCAGTGAGCATCAGACAATTCCAAAAACAAGTGACACCTAAAGGTTTGGAAGGTGTTAACTAAAAAAGAGAAGGAGGAAGAATCTTCCAGTCCTTATTAGTTTCTCAGTTTAAATATTTTTTTTCTTTTGGAAATACCTTTATTTTACCCATATTGACCAGCTGCCTCTGATGCTTTTGCCCTCCTTTCTGATTTCCCAGGTTGGTGTTTGAAAGTTCCACAGAAGCTATTGCTACTTTGCTTAGTCCAAGAAAAAGCAACCCTCCACCCCACCCCACCCCCCAAAAAAACACCCTTAAAGTGTATTCTTTGCCTCAGAATGATTTTGCAATTGTTTATATATTGCTGTCGTTTCAATAAAGAGATGGGAAATAGCAGTTTTTCCATTTCTAGTAGTCGACTCTGTCTTCACCTTTAGTTTGTTGTAGCAGTATGAGCTGGCCGAAGTTCTGCTGAGTGGTGGTTTTCTTTTCTTTCTCTACTTAATTTAACAGACCAGCTGAACACAGCAGAGATTTAAGCTGGAGAACGTGTCAATATGGAGTCCTGGTGTGGCGCTATGGGTTAATGTGCCAGACTGCAAAGCCACATTAACTGCAAGGTCTATGGCTCAAACTCACCAGCTGCTCCTCGGAAACCCTATACAGGGTCGTTATGGGTCGGAACCGACTCAATGGCACTTAACAACAACAACAACAATGTGTCATTATGGCCTTCCAATACAGTTCTCTGCTCCACTTTGTTTTGGACCTTGTCTATTATTCTAGTTAAGAGGAAAAAGGTACACACCAAATAGTTACAACCACAACATAGATTTGTGTAGTATTTTTTCATGCTTTAGTTCATTTTACCATCATGACAATTTTGTAAACTAGTCAAAGCAAGTAGGGTGGCTCCTATTTTGTACATAAAGAACTGAAGTATAGAGGGAATAAATGAGTACTTGTGACAGACCCAGGTCACTTGAACCTAGATCTTTAGTTCCTTCATAAGAGCACTTAACAGATTTTTAAAGACTTTCTGCAAGCTTCTCAGCATCATGCTTTTCTGTGTGAAACTCTTCCTATAAGAATACAGTGCTTCAGTGGGACACCTAGTATTCCTCTCTGCCTTCAAGATGCTTTTCCTTCATCTGGGCAGTTAGGTGGTTAAGTTTGCCATGGTAATGCTAAAGAGGGAGGGTCTCATGTAGAGTACTTTTGACTCATGTGTGACATTTCCTCCTTGGATTTTGGAGTTTAGAAGCCTGAGGGAACTTAGTCCTGGCAACTCTCTGAATTCCTGATGGTGAGAGGATGTGGCTCCTGGACCCGTCCCGGAAAGAGGTACTGAGGTTTGCAGTCAGCTGCCGGGTCCTGACTCTAGTGCTGCAGGTCAGTCTTTGATCCTTTGTCTTGAACATGCTGCTGTCGCTGCTACGTGATTAGACTAGACACTCAGAGTGCTCCCCATTTCCTTTCCATCTCCCTGGTGTATATGTACCCTGTGCCTTTCCTGTGGTTGGATCCATAGAGAAACAGAGTTTATATAACTGAAAAATAAGCAGGAATGTTAAAAATGATCTATTGATCTCTTATTTCACACATGAAGCAGCAGAGGCCCAGAAAGGGTAAGAGACTTCCAAACTCACATTGCAAATTGGAGAAGGGCCTTAATTATTAATTAGACCCAAGTTTTCTAACTCCTAAGCTAAAGATCTTCCCAACAGACTAAGATATTCTATAGCCAGAGAGACTTACCCCAAAGGTACGACAGCTGAAAACATTGCCCTGGGTTCTCTTGCCAGGAGACTGAGCTCTATGTCAGTCAGTAGACTGGGAGAAAAGTGGTACTGCTCAAGTCCTGAGGCCTCTGTGTATATTTATTTAGGAAGAGACCCAGGGGAAGAGTACTTACTAGCCTACCACATACAATTCTCAGGATGCATTTGTTTTTTTCTAACTTCCTTTCCCTTCCTAGGCTGCCCTTGGTACAAATTTTAATAAAATTTTATGCATATATGAATTATCTTAAGTGCATACCACAATGCCTGGTACCTAGTGTGTCCACAGTATATGTTCATGAATGAATGTTGTTGAGTATATGTTTATACCTAGGGATATTATTTTTGTATAATTGTGTGTGCCTTTTATCACTCTCTGAAAACTCATATCTCATTCCTTTGTGTAAACTTTCTTTCCTCTTTCCTCCCCTACTGTGATGAGGCAGAGCTGGGGCCCAGGTTTAGTTAGAAGTGTTTTCCACTTGGTGACTAGGGTCATTATCTGTGACTGTCACTCCTGTCCCATTTGTTTTCAGTGCCTGATAAAGAAACTGACAAAAAGAAAGTCTTAAAATGGAGTTATGCTCCTGTTAGGTTGGGGAAATTGACTATAGGATCAGTTGGGTTATTGGCAGAACCAAAGGATAGGAAACCAGGACAGCTGGGTTCTAATTTAGATGATGATTTTGAAATGAGTATGTTTCCCTAGACAGTTCACCTAACATCCATTAAACACTTACTGTACTTCAAGAAGTAGCCCGGGTGGTACAGTGGCTAAAGCACTTTGCTTTTAACTGATATGTCTGTAGTTTGAACTACCAGCTGCTCCATGGGAGAAAGATGTGGCATTCTGCTTCCTTAAAGATTTACAGCCTTGGAAACTGAGACAGTTCTACTATATCTGGTAGGGTCTCTATGACTCAGAATTGACTTGATGGCCATGGGTTTATGTTCCAGTAGCTGTCATAGGTGGTAAGTGTAAAAGGTCATGGTCTCTTTCCCATTAAGGAACTTACAGTCTAATGAGGCAAAAAGGCATTTAACAATAAATATTTCATTATCCTTACCTTTTCCCTTTCTCCCCTCACCCCCATCTTTAAAGCTTATGAGATCAGATTATATCCCCAGTTATCCTTCTGAGTTATCATCCACAGATCTATAGGTCATTCCTCCTCACTCCTTGAAGATTTAGCTCCTGGCTTATTGTCTCTCATTCTTGTACTATTTCTGTTGATTTCTTAATGATTTCAATATTAATGAAGATGACACGTCTTTATTATTGGTTCCTTGTCTGGCTCCCTTCTAATGATCTTGTCCTCCCCATATTTATAGTCATACCCAAGATACCCACCCTTGGCCAGATAATCTATGTTTGAAGCATTCCATTTTCTGACCACCATCTCCTTTCTTTCTGCCTTACTCCCTCTAGTACCCCAACTCTAACAATTCTCCCACCCATCCCCAGGACATATGATCCATTTATCTTACCACCATTTCATTGTTTATCTACCTCATGGCTTCACCTCTCCTCCTTACCCAACTTAGATCCCATCATCTATCATGATAATACTTGACTCTCTTGTTCCCCTCTCCCTATGTCATATTTGCAAGGCAAAAGTTCAGCCTTGGCTAAATTCAATTCTCTGTCTGCTCCATTCCTGCACAGAGAAAAAAACCCCACAACTATACTAACTAGTGTGTTTTTACTCATTAACCCAGAGAGTTCTTACTGCTACCTGGCAATCTTAATGTACCTCCCCAGTTACCTCAAATTTTTCTGCACTTCAGAATCACATGGAGAGCTTTTAAAAATCTCAACACCACTAGGACCTCTTACCAATTAAATCATCAGTTCCAGGAAAGGGACCCAGGTATCAGTAGTTCTTTTAAACTCCCTAGGTGATTCCAGTGTGCAGGTTATTTTGAGAACCAGAGTCACCAGAACTGGTGACTTATTTTACATGTTTACCTCTTTTCTCAGTCTTCAACACGTTTTCCCCGATCCACATTTTCAACTGACAACTTCCTTTTCTGAGTGAAAACTCAAAAATGCGATCAGAAGAGACCTTCTGTAATACACATATTTACAACAATGACCACCCTCCACCCCCCAAAAAAAAGTAGTTGCTGGACTACTTCTATACAACCAAACATCTCATGGGATTTGGTTCCTTGGTTGGTTAGGGCCATGTTTTCATGGACCATCCCAGTTAATTGTACTAATAATGTATGTAGTATGTCTGTTCTACCTCCTAGTTTGTTGCATATTGCTTGGGGTCTTAAAAGTTTGCAAGTAGTCATCCAAGTCATAGTTGGTCTCTATTCACCTGCAGTTCCAGAAGGAGAGTGAGAAATAGTGGCTGCTTCCATGAACGACCACTTCCTTTGCTATGACACCAAAAGAATTGGATGGTACCCAGCTACCATTACTGAGCATTTTGATCAAAGATTCTGTAGACAAATCCTGATCACAAGTGGGGAAATGATGAGCAGAATTCAAATTCTCGAGGACTCCAAACTTTCTGGAGCCATAGGAGCTGGATGAACCCCTAAAATGACTAACCTGATATAATCTTTAAACATTAAACCAAAATTATCTTTTGAAGTCTTCTTAAAACCAAACAGTAGTTTATCTTAACTAATGAAAAAGGTTTGCCTAGAATTACCTGTATGGCATCAAATTGACAACAGCAACTCAAAAGAGTAGATAGTAATCTTAGGAGTCAGTGAGTTTAGTTAATGGATGAGAATTGTTGCACAATTCAAAGAATGTAATCGATGTCGCTAAATTGTATACATAGAAACTGTTGAGGTGGTGTTTTTTTTTGTTGTGTACATTTTCAGTAACAACAAATTTAAATTAAAAAACAAAGAAAATGACCTCTGCATGCTTTTATCACCTCCCAGCCTACCAACATTTGCCTTTCTGTGTATTCACTACTGAAGGTTTGAAGGAGGTCTTTTCTCTGTAAGGCTAGTTTCTCCACCAGTATGTCCAGACTTCATCTGATGTCACCTGCTTTAGCAATTATCTGCTTTCTCTCCTACATCCTAAGTGGTTTTCTTTCCATTTGATTAGTCCAACTGGCATGCAAACATTTTTTGTTGCTGTTGTTGTTATTTGACATGCAAGCATTTATCTCTCACCTTCAAAAAACAAACTTCCTTGTGACACTTCATTCTTGTACACCTACTGCCTCATATCTCTGCTCCCCTTGATAGCAAAAATTTTCAAAATAGTTGTATGCACTGGCTTCAATTTCTCTTCTTCCATGTTCTGTTTAACCCACTCTAGTCAGGTTTCTCTTTCCTCCTGTCCACTAAAATAGCTTTTGTCAAAATCACTGATGACCTCCACATTGTTGAATCTAATGGTCATTTTTCATACCTCATCTTACTTGACCTTTCAGCAGTGTTTAACAGACTCTCTTTATTCCCTGATTCTGAGACATCTGCTCTCCTGATTTCTGTTCTAACTCACTAATTGTTACTTCATTATCTTCATTGCTGGCTCCTCCTCCATCTTCCTACTTCTAAATGTTGATGTGTCCAGGATCGAGTCTTTGGACCTCTTCGTTTTTCTATCTGTACTTCCTCCTTAGTCAATTTCATTTAGTCTTAACAGCTTTAAATACCATCTACACACATAAGGAGCTCTGGCAGCATAGTGGTTATGAATTGGGCTGCTAGCCTCAAGGTCGGCAGTTCGAAACTACCAGCTGCCCCATGGGAGAAAGACGTGGCTTTCTGCTCCTGTAAACATTTGCAGCCTTGGAAACCCTATGCAGGGTCACTGTGAGTTGTAATCAACTCCATGGTACTTAACAACAACAACAACACACACATGACTCCCAAATTTATAACTTCAGCCTTAATCTCTTCTGATCCACAGACTCATATTTCATGACCTGGTCTAGCTCTTGCACTTGGATGTCCAACTCAAATTTAACTAGTCTAAAACTGAATCTGATTTCTCCCAACAAATCTGTTCTTCCTCTTTTTAATAAATGATGATTCTTTTCTTCTAGTTGTTCAACTAATATCCTCGTTCTCCTTCACCCCAAAGGCCCTGTTCAATGCCATCATCCCAGATCACCATGCAGAAGCCTTCTCACCTCCTCGTCTGGCTCCATCCAGCTCTGTGGACCAGCTTGTGGAAGTTCTTCTGGGTGGCCTGTCTCACTGGGATGCTGAGCACTTCCTGTTCATCGCTGAGCATGGCTATCTGTATGAACACAACTTTGCCTTCTTCCCTGGTTTTCCCCTGTCCCTGCTGGTGGGGACTGAACTACTACTAAGACCCCTGCGGGGGTTACTGAGCCTGCGGAGTTGCTTGCTAATTTCAGTAGCATTGCTCAACTCCTTGTTCTCCGTGCTGGCAGCAGTGGCACTTCACGACCTGAGCTGTCTGGTTCTGCATAGTCCCCGCCAGGCCTTCTACACAGCACTACTCTTCTGCCTTAGCCCTGCCAATGTGTTCCTCGCAGCTGGTTACTCAGAAGCTCTGTTTGCCCTCCTGACATTCACCGCAATGGGGCAGTTGGAGAAGGGCCGAGGTTGGACTAGTGGACTCCTCTTTGCCTTTGCCACTGGTGTACGATCCAATGGGCTGGTCAATGTTGGGTTCCTTGTGTATGCCCAGTGCAGAAGCTTTTTTTCTTCTCTCAAGATGGAGAATCCCTTGAAGCAGCTCATTAAGCTGATAGCCTCTGTGTTCCTGTCAGTGCTCACACTTGGCCTTCCCTTTGTCCTCTTTCAGTATTATGCCTATACCCAGTTTTGTCTACCAGACTCCTCATCCCAGCCCATACCTAAACCCTTGCTCCAGTTAGCTGTGGATAAGGGCTACCGTATTGCAGATGGAAATAAGCCACCTTGGTGCTCCTGGAACCGTCCCCTAATATACAGCTATATCCAGGATGTCTACTGGAATGTTGGCTTTTTGAGATACTATGAACTCAAGCAGGTGCCAAATTTTCTACTGGCTGCACCAGTAGCTATACTGGTTACCTGGGCAACTTGGACATATGTGACCACCCACCCTTGGTTCTGTCTTACACTTGGGCTACAAAGAAACAAGAGCAATCAGACCCTAGAGAAACCTGATCCTGGGTTCCTCAGTCCTCAGGTGTTTGTATACCTGGTCCATGCTTCAGTGCTGCTGCTGTTTGGAGTTCTGTGCATGCATGTTCAGGTAAGGTGAATTCCTGACTAGGGTAAAAAAAATGTAAATACAGGCAAAACTCCTTAACCATTGAGTGGGGAATATAGATAACTTCTCCCATTTGAATGACTCATACCAAATTTATTCATCCAACAAAGTATTTGGGGACTTTCTTTATGTCAGACCCTGGGTAAGACTACTAAGGATAGAATTGCTGCCTTAGTTAGTCTCATGGTATAAATGATGAGATAGACATTTAACAGATAAAATGGAATGGAAGAGGGGTTACTGTTTTGAGATAAAGTTACTGTGGAACCTCAGAGGGAAAACTACTCATTGATTAGAGTTCAGGAAGACATTACATTTATGCTGGATCCTGAAGAGTAAGAAGGAATTTTCCATATAAGAAGCTGAGGAAATGGAAAGATGTGTGCAAAGACAGGAAGATTGTGGATGGATATGGTATAGCTGAGATATAGGAATAAGCAATGCATCTCTTTGGGACCTTCCCCTAATATACAGTTATATCCAGGATACCTACTTGAATGTTGCCTTTCTGAGGTACTCTGAGGCGGGCGTCTGGTTTTCAGAGGAGATACCTTGTCTTGTGTCTGCAGTGTTAGGAAAAGAGATAGAAAGGGTGTAATCACATATCTGATTTTTCCTCCTGGCTCTGGCCTCAGTTTCAGTATAATCCCAAGAAAATCTTTTTGCCCCTAAACAATCCTGTGCAGTTTCTGTCACTTGGAGGTGCATGTTGACAGTTTGTAAAGTTCTTTGAATTATATGGATAAGAGACATAGGGGAAATAGAAAATAGCATTCTGTGTTTGTAGCTGAATTAGTAGAGTGAGAGCCAGCACAGTGTAGAGTTTTCAGGAGGTTAGATGAAGAATGCCATTAGGAGACCTGGCTCGGAACTCTCCATGAAGTGAGAATGGTGAAACTACCCTCTGCTCTGATAACCCTAGGATATGAGGGAACTAGCCTAGGTTCCCAAGCGCCACATCACAGCCCAGTTTAGTCTAGGCCCTAGGCTAAAACTGGACCTCATACATAGAGATTTTAATGTTGATTGTACCATTATGTGGTAATTACTCTGTAGCTATGTTTATTTGTAGCATTGAGGTTGCATGGCTGGTGTCACATTTTTATGAAGCAGATCCTAAGCTCTCTTAATTTTTTTTCCAGTGTAGTACCTTTCTGATGCATGTCCTGGGGCCAGTGATTACAAAGAACAGGGAAGTCCCCCCAGCTGGTCCAATTTAAATCACTGGCATTCCAGTAAATGTGTGGGTTTTTCCCTCTCCAATGATTTCCAGGTTCTCACCAGGTTTTTGGGATCCTCCACTCCTATTGTATACTGGTTTCCAGCTCACCTGCTTCAGAATCAAGAGCCATTGCTGAGGTCCCTAGAGACTGTACCTTGGAAGCCTCTTGCAGGGAACTCTCCACCAGGACAAAAGGTCCCCAGAAATCCTATCAAGGGACTTTTGTACAACTGGAAAACCTGTTCTCCAGTCACACGATACATCTTAGGCTACTTCCTGATTTACTGGCTCATGGGACTACTCCTGCATTGCAACTTCCTGCCTTGGACATGACCTGGAGTCTCAAGAGACAGACTTAAAGCTGACTTAGCCCAGGCCTCTGAGAGCACACATACATATGGGGGCTCTCTTTGCCACCCTAGGATTATTTCTCCTCTTGGAAATCTGATTAGGTACAGGAGAGATGTGAGCCACTAGAGAACCCTTCTGTCCTGGCTAGAACAAATTTTAGAGCAATAACTATTTTCACTGTAAGTGAAGATGTTTAATTCTAGGTCTAACGAACACCTGCATCTGTCCTCTGGAGACCGTCTTAAACCTACCGTTGATTCACACATGGATTTACATGATATGAATTTAAATTTAATCAAAGCTTCTTGCTGACAGGATGGTGGAGGTAGGCCATCTTTCCTAAACAGGACACTTTTCTAATGATGTGTGGATTTATTTATATGAAAAATCTTACAAATATATGCAAGTTAAACAACATTCACCTACACATGCAATGAGTTAGCTTTTTCAAAATTTTACAAATTGCTTGGGGAAAAAAAAATTTTTTTTCCAGGAAAAACAAAAACCAAAGTAAGGAGAACACTGTATGAAGAGACAGAAGACCTGGATTCTAGTCGTCCCAGTAAAACTATTTACCAGCTCTATGACTTTGGGTGATTCTTCAGAGCCTTCATTACTGCTCTGGCTCTAGGAGAAAATATATTGTTCCTACTGGGGAGCTGAACCCTTTTTGCTCTAAGATTTTAACAGAATCATCCCAGTCAAAGAGGCTCAAAGATGTGATTGTAGCATAAAATATCTTCAGTACTCCTACTTTCAGCAATTATAAGATGCAATTCTAAAAAGTAATGTAAATGATCTCTTCTTTGAACGAAGGAAAGCAGTAACATCTCACAAATAAAGCTCACTGACCTGCATAAATAAACCTATGGCTGGCTTTCCGTTCATTTTCCAGTGCCTGTGCTTGCTTGCATGGTAGACATGGATATGGATCAGAGGAATCAGTGCAGCAGCATGAATTGTACATTGTAGGTAAGTCTAAGGTACAATGAAAATTTTTGGCCCTGCTTCTGTTTGTTTATGAGACCTGTCATGGATCGAATTGTGACCTCCAAAATATGCCACATTGGCTGGGTCATGATTCTCAGTGGTTTGGCAGTTATGCAATGATATAACATGGCAGGTATGTGACAATTCCCCATGATGTGATTTTGATGTCATAAACCAATAAGAGGATTGAGGGTGAGCTGCAATACCCTTAATCCCATCCAGTATGAAAGTGTTTTCTGGGAGTGTGGCCTGAAACACCTTTTATCTTACCAAGATAAAAGGAGAGAGAAATGAGCAGAGAAAGAGGGACCTACTACTATCAAGAAAGAAGAACAAGGAATGGAGTTTATCCTTTGCACCTAGGGTCCCTGTGAAGCTCTTATCTTAGATCCAGAGGAATATTGATGCAAAGATTCATGGAGAGCTTCAAGTAATGCTTGACCTACAGATGCTGAAAGGAGACAAGGACCTTTCCCCAGAGCTGACAAAGAAAGAGAAAGTCTTCTTCACCTAAAGTCAGCTCTCTGAATGCGGACTTGTAGCCTCCTAAACTGTGAGAGTAAATGTGTTTGTTAAAGCCACTCACTTGTGGTATTTCTGTTATAGTAGCATTAGATACCTAAGACAACCATTACTGTAACGGTAGTAAGATCATTAGCTACTGCTGAGCTCTGTATTATCACCATTCTGATTCCCCATTTGAGTCAAAAATTCCAACAGGCAGGATAGATGGGTAACCAGAAGCAGCTTCTAAATAGCCCTGAGAATTGGAATTTTGACACACTCCCTATGACGGTGACAGACCGCTTAACTTGCCAGCTGAAGGGAAGCTCCTGGCTGAGTCCCAGCACCCTCTGTTGGAGTTTCTGGTCAGCCTGGCCAATAAGCATTTCCCATCCATTGCCCCAGCACTAACACAGCTGAGAGAATTTGGTCCAGAGTCAAATGCTTCTGAAAATGTACACACAGATCGCGGGGCAGCCCTCAGCCTTCTGCCAAGACATCCAAGTGCCCTTCTTGGCAAAACATAATCACCCTTGCCCTAGTGTCTCTTCAGCTGGCAGAAACTGTTCCTTCTGTCCTCACCAACAGCTGCAAATCCAGGGACTTCCACCCTGTGTGCAGGAAGAGTTGGGGCCTTTTCCCATTCTTTACTGCTGAGGTAGGAAGGAACACTGGATTCTTGCTCTCATGGATTCTCTTCTTTGCCTCCTTCTGGGAGATAATGGGAATGGATTGTTCCCCTACTGGAAGAGGTAACTCAAAGCAAACAGGGTCAGATGTGGTTTCACTGCTCTGGCAGTCTTAGCTTAACCTTCACACTAGATCTCATCACCCCTAGAAACAAGTGATTTCAAGGATCCTATAAGTGAAAATCTTCTCAACTGATACTGGGGAGCTAAGTCACTCTGGTATTCTGCAAAGACCTTTATAATTACAGCTGATAACTGAACACCCCAGCTATGTGGAAGCACCTGGTGTGACCAGGAGAAAGAAATAGTTTTCTCTCTGACTTTGGAGGGATCTAGTTGCTGTTCTCTGAGGATCTAAGGAATGGGCTGATTTTACGGCCAGCAGCTGCCCTTTTACCATCCTATTACAATCTTTAATAGGCTGGGAGAGGGACATGAAGGGCCCAAGTCAGGAAGCTTCCTGTTTACCCTGAGGTCTAACAATGCCGCAGCTGGGTTGGGCATCTACAATTTCACAGAAAAGTCATTTCCTTCTGAGACCCTGCTAAAACAAACCAGACGCTTAGTGTACCTAGAATTAGATGTTTTTTGTTCTTTAATGAAGGTGGGAGGAGAGGGAGTGTTTGACATGGTTTTACCAGTCCCCCGGGAAGGGGGAGGGAAATCACTTTTCCTGAATAAACCCTCACCGTTATCTAAACATATTAAGTACATAGGCTCAAGAAATTTGAAATTGTTGATTAAGGGATTAATTTCAGGGTAATAAAGATGGCTTAGCTATGACTTCTGTCCTCAAGTAGCTGTCTAGTAGAGTAACTGGCATACATAAACAGCAATATTAAGGTACAAAGTGACAAATGCTGGAGGGTGAGGGGATATTTAGACTTTTTGCTCTATGTCCCTGATGAGAATGAACTGAAGTTTTTCCTGTATACTTAGAAAAAGTTAAGTGAAGTACAGAGCAAATACTCTGTAAATTAATATACAGTGGAGCTCTCTTTCAGCCTGGATACCTAAGAAGACTTCATGGAGAAATGGTTGTTAAGCTGGGTTTTGAAGGCTAGGTTGTTGTGAGGTGCCATTCAGTCAGTTTCAACTCAGGGATACTATGCACAACAGAACCAAAGATGCCAGGTCCTGCACCATCCTCACAATTGTTGCCACTCTTAAGCCCATTGCTGCTGCCACAGTGCCAGTGTATCTCATTGGGGCTCTTCCTTTTTTTCGCTGACTGTCCGCTTTATCAAGTATGAGGTCCTTCTCCTGGGACTGGTCCCTTCTCATAACATGTCCAAAGTATAAGAGATGAAGTCTCAGCATTCTAGCTTCAAAGAAACATTCTGGCTATTCTTCTTCCAATACAGACCTATTTGTTCTTCTGGCAGTCCATGGTACTCTCAATATTCTCCAACACCATAACTCAAATGAATCAATTCTTCTACAGTTATCCTTATTCATTGTCCAACTTTCATATGCATATGAGGCTACTGAAAATACCATGACTTGGGTCAGGCACACCTTAGAACTCAAAGTGATTTCTTTGCTCTTGAACATTTTAAAGAGATCTTGTGCAGCAGATTTGCCTAATGCAATATGTGATTTCTTGACTGCTGCTTCCATGAGTATTGATGTGAATCCAAGCAAAATGAAGTCTTTGACAACTTCAGTCTTTTCTCTGTTTGTTGTTATTAAGTGCCATCGAGTCGGTTCTGACTCATAGTGACCCTGTATAGCGTTTCCGAGTAGCAGCTGGTGAATTTGAACCTCTGACCTTGCAGTTCAAAGTGACCTTGAAGTCCAATGCATTTTCCTATAGCACCACACCAGGATTTCTTTCTCTATTTATCATGATGTTATTTATTGGTCCAGTGGGGAGGAGTTTTGTTTTCTTTGCATTGAGGTGCAATCCATACTGAAGACTGTAGTCTTTAATCTTCATCAGTACCTATTCAGCAAGGTTGTTAATGAGTCTTCCTCCAATCCTGATGCCATGTTCATCTTCATATAATCCAACTTCTTGGATTATTTGCTCAGCATACAGGTTGAATAAGTAAGGGGAAAGAATACAGCTCTGGCACATACCTTTCATGATTTTAAACCACTCAGGATCTCCTTGTTCTAAGGTACAGGTTCCTCATGAGCATATTTAAATGTTCTAACCATAGAAGAATTGGTGCTTTTGAGTTATGGTGTTGGAGGAGAATATTGAAAGTGCCATGGGCTGCCAAAAGAACCAATAGATCTGTTTTGGAAGACGTGCAGCCAGAGTGCTCCTTGGAAGCCAGGATGGCCAAACTTTTTCTCTCATACTTCAGACGTATTGTCAGGAGGGTCCAGTCGCTGGAGAAGGATATCATGTTTGGTAGGGTGGAGGGTCAGAGAAAAGGAGGAAGACCCCCCCACCCCCCAGCGAGATGGATTCGCAAAATGGTAGCATTAGTGAGCTCAAAGCGTGGCAACAGTAGTGAGGTTGGCCCAGGATCGGGCAGTGTTTCATTCTGCTGTGCATAAGGTCGCTATGGGTCGGTACCGACTTGATGGCACCTAACAACAGCAACAACATAGTACCTATTCTTTGCAATATTATCCATAGCTTGGCATGATCCACACAGTTGAAACCCTTTGCATAATCAATAAAGCACAGGCAAACATCTTTCTGGTATTCTCTGCTTTCAGCCAAGATCCATCTGACATCACCAATGATGTCCTCCTTCCACATCCTTTTCTGAATACAGCTCAAATTTCTGGCAGTTCTCTATCAATGTATTACTTTAGATGTTTTTAAATTGTCTTCAGATA